GACCAGAGCACTGGAAGGCCGCTAAGAGGGTGATGCGCTACTTGTGCAGTACGTCGGGCATGGGGCTCGTGCTTGGAGGACGGGCTCGAGTTGTCCTCACTGGTCACGCAGACGCTTCTTGGGTTGGCGACTTGGCTACGCAGCGGTCGTCACAGGGTTACACCTTCAGCCTTGGCTCCGGCTCTGTTTCGTGGCGGTCTACGCGCTCGTCTTCAGTTCTCAGCTCCAGTTGTGAGGCTGAGATCTACGCAGGGGCCATCGCTGCACAGGAGTTACGCTGGCTCAACTACCTGCTGACCGACTTGGGCGAGCCACCTTGTTGTCCTCCAGTTCTGTACGTCGACAACAAGGCCATGATTGCCTTGTGTTAGGAGCACAGACTGGAGCACAGAACGAAGCACATCGCTCTGCGCTACTTCCTTGCTCGAGAGTTGCAGTAGCGTGGTCACCTTCGTCTTGTCTACGTGGCCTCTCAGGCCAACACTGCTGATGTCCTCACCAAGGCACTTCAGCCTTGTGATCATCAGCGTTTCTGTACTGTTCTAGGCCTTGTGCCTACGTGGCCTCACTTGCTCAATTCTTGACTTTGCTTATACCTGCATGCTTCCACCTGCTAGGTTGAAGCTCTTCTTTATATTTAACTCTGCATGTGAACTGGCCTTGTGGCCATTTGCTTGTGCTCAGAATGCGTGGTGGCGTTGTGATCCACCTTGAGCTTGACCTTGCTTCATTCACTTGCTTGTCCCCCACTTTGCTTATAGGGGTGTGTCAGAACTATGCATATATGCTCTAGGCTGTAGTGGAGCACTCCTCATTGGGTACAGCCCAAATTATGTGTTTGCTATACAAACCTTGTACTGCTCTCTTTCTAGTCATTCTTTACTTCTCATTTCTGACAAGCCGACATAGTCGTCATCGCAGGCGCCAAAGTTTTGTGTGCGCACGAACCAAGCTGAAATTGCTCTGGTAGGTGTATTTGAGCATGGGCCACCCGAATATGGAACAACATTCAGGTCGTTCGATGCTTTTCCCTACGCCTATAGGGATCCATGCGCTTCGTTACCATTTGTCGGCAGACACAGCCGTCATCGCAGGTGCCGAACATTTCTGTGCGGACGAGCCAAGCTGAAATTGCTCTGGTAGGTGTATTTGAGCATGTGCCACCCGAATATGCAACAACATTCAGGTCGTTCGATGCTTTTCCCTACGCCTATAGGGATCCATGCGTTTCGTTACCATTTTTCGGCAGACACAGTCGTCATCGCAGGCGCTGAACTTTTCTGTGCGCACGAACCGAGCTGAAATTGCTCTGGTAGGTGTATTTGAGCATGGGCCACCCGAATATGCAACAACATTCAGGTCGGACGCAATTCGCAAAATTTAGTCGGGCGGTCGAACTCGAAAATTGCGAATCGGGGAAGTTTCGAAGCGTGGAAAAGGGATTGGAGGGCGTACTCCAAGAGAGGAGGTCAGGGCGCATCCAACAAGCTAAAAGTCAGGAGAAACGGTCGAGTCTACATCGACGGAAAATTGGCCAACTTCGACGAGTTTAAGTGGACAGCTCGGACACGGAATCCAATAGTGCACCACATCATTGGAACGGACACGGAATGGGGATTCGGTTAATTCAAATTCGGTTAATTCAAATGGTTTGTTATTCGGACGTTCAAGCGCGGAGTTACGCTCCAAAAACCAAGAAGGGGTGAATCTGCCCACGTCGTCTTCACCGCCGCCGCCGTTTCCTCCACCATCACTTCAACTTCAATCGTCGGTGTCGTTGTCGCAAATGGATCATGACTCGGGCGAACGGAAGCTGGAGAGTGCGCCAAACTTCGACGGGAGCAACTATTGGACTTGGAGCCCCCGGTTCGAACAATGGGCAGAGGCGCACGACATGTGGGGGTACTTTGATGGATCGGAGGAGCGACCTGCATCGGGTGATGCACGACTGAAGTCGGAGAGGAGGAATCATAAGGCATTCGCCCAATTTTGCAATGCCTTTGTACAGGATGAGCTGATTCGCCTAGTTCGGGAGTTTGGCAGCAAGACCGAGTTGGGCGGTGCACCTGCAGATGGCGGAGCAAGAGTGGCCACATGTGTTCCTGCAAGTACAGCAGCGGCATACACACGTGTGAGAGAGTTCTACCTTCAGCGTGACTTGTGCAACCGGATTGCACTTTCTGAGGAGCTCTCTTCCGTGAAGATGAAGAAGGGAGAGGGAGTGGCTGCATACTGGCCACGTGCCGAGGACTTGAGGTCCAAGTACTTGGCAGCAGGGGGGGAAGGGGGAGGTCGAGGAGTGGATGATGAGGGTGCTCAAATGACTACCTCCTCACTTTGAGATGCTGAAGGCGGTGCTAAACAACCAATCATATTGCTTACCAAGAAAAAACTACTTACCTCTTTGGGGAGCAAGGAGATGCGGATTGGTGTCGCACCAAGATCGGATGGAATAGCCACTTTTGGAGCAGGTACGAAAGTGGGCAGCAACGTTAGGGGAAATTGGGACAAGGGAGGAAAGCATGGAGGCAGCGGTAGCAGCAGCGGCACCAACTCGGGCACATGGGATCAGGGAAAAGGCAAAGCAGGAGTGCTTGATTTCCCTTGGGGGTCCAAGGGCATGGCTCCTAGGGGGTTGTGTCATGGCTGCTGGGATGAGGGACATGTATGGCAGCGATATCCTCACCGACCTTAGGGAGGAATTCTGGCATTGTTACAGCGGGGTCGTGGGTCCAACGACAAGGCACAGGTGGCGGATGAGGAGGAGCAGGATGACAATGCTGAGGTAGCGGTTGGTGAGGCAGTTGCAGCAGTAGGAGGGGAGCAGCCGCGAGAGGGGTGGTGGATTGACAGTGGGGCCAGCCACAACTTTACTCCCTGTGCATCAGATTTCAATAGTAAGCTTGGGCCACCTGAGATTTGAGGGGTCAGATTGGGAGATGGACGGGTGGTGAAAGCAGTTGGTATGGGTGAGGTGCTAGTGGTTGGTGCTGGAGGTCAGCTGCTGAGGATTCAAAAGGTCCATCTCGTGCCTGAAATGCATACACGTCTACTGACGATCCCATACCTCAACTCTCGAGGCGTGATTGTCTCATTCGAGGGTAAGGGATGTGTTATCAAACGGGGAGAGAGGGTGTTGGCGACTGGAGAAAAGTGCGGAGAGTCACTCTGTCACGGGGGAAGGCACGGGTAGTACGAGCGATCGTAGCGTTCCTTAGCATTCTCTAGCACTTGTGCTTTCACAGTGAAAACTGGCAAGAGTTTTACTAGCAAAGGTTGAAAACAAAGTTTGATCAAATGGTAGCAATGCCAAAAGTGACACTGAGTACATCAGAGCCTAGCAACCTAGCAAACAGGCAGGTCGACCGCCAGCACAGCAAGGTCGACGACCTGCCAGCACTACAAGTCCACGCCTCTCCAGCGCTGCAAAGCAGCAGCTTGCCAATGTAGGAAGTCGGCGGCCGGCCAGCGCTGCACCAAGGCGGCTTGCCAACGCTGCAGCAAGGCGGCTTTCCAGCGATGCATCCGCAGGTGACAGCAGTGCACATGCACGCACCTAGTTCGCTGGTTCTTGTGGGCGGTTGGTGCGACGTGCATTGTCACGTTCACGGCGCAAGTGCTAAGTCGGCCACGTGCTATTGGTTGCGCCTGAAGAGCCACGTCGACCTCAGGATACCAGCTCGAGGTCGGCTTCGCCAAAACCTCTTGGGCGACGGTCACGCACCCTGCAGAAGCTCGTCGCCCTGGTTACTTGGTTGATGGGGAAACCACCAAGTCGGTGTTGACTTGGGCGGCAGGAGCCCGCCAACTGCTGTATGTGCTCGTCGACCAACCCGGGTCGACGCCACCCGCCGATTTCATCAAGTTGGCCACTCCACAGGTTGACGAACGCCTTCGTCGACCACACCAGCAGTCTGCCGACTCCTCCAAGTCGGCATCCCCAGGTCGCGCCCACAATTCAGCGCCCTCTCCCAAGCCGAAAGTCCATTCGTCGACCACCAGGTGAAGTCGGCCGCCGGCTTCCCGTCATCGGCGGCTTCGTAGTGGCCCCGTATAGGTCGACCAACTCGGTCGGCCTGCTCGCCCAAGTCGGCGTCACCCACTGTAGAAGGTCGGCTGCACCTCCCGCACAGCCGACCACGAAGTTGGCCCTGCCCAAGCGAGGACGGGGCCAACTCCCGTTAACGAAAAGGAGGGGAGAAGGGACCATGGACTGGTATGGATGTCTCTTCCTCAATCTCGAGGCACACAGGGCAGTGCTCTTGTAGCTGGAACCTCCTCCCCGTTTTCTCCTTTGACCCTTGCCCACCGCCGCCCTGGTCATAGCGCCCCCACTACACTACAACAGATGGTTTGGGGGAACAATATACTGGGCTTGGAGATTGGGAGGGGAGAACGCTGATTGTTCTACATGCGAGCCTTGCCTATTGGGAAAGTCGGCCCGTAAGTCGTTTCCCCATGAGGCGTCTCGGGCACTCGGGCCTTTGGATGAGGTCCACATGGACTTGTGGGGGCCTGTGCGCAATGCTTCACTGGGAGGAGCGGTGTATGTCCTCAGTCTCATCGACGACTTCACCATACGGGTTTGGTCATTCCCTCTCCCCAACAAGGAATATGCCACAGTCCATAAGTCCTTCGCCAGTGGCATAGGGACGTGGAGTTGGAGTATGGGCGGAAACTAAAAGTTGTTCGCTCGGACAAGCGTGGCGAGCTATTGGGGGAAGCTGTGAAGGCATGGAAGGCTGAGTTTGGCATCGAAACTCATCGCAGATACACCGCAGCAGAATGGGGTGGTGGAGAGGTGGCACAAGACGATGGGAGAGGGGATCCGCACATTGTTGGTCGACAGTGGTCTCCCTGCTCGCTTATGGGGTGAATTATTGTTGTGGGTCGTGTGGGTTAAGAACAGGGTCACCCACAGTGCTTTGCCTGCCTCCATCACCCCAATGGAGGCGTCCGGCCAGAAGCAGCATGTGGTCATGGCTCAGATTTAGAGTTGCATGGGGAGTGTCATGTTGCATGGGCATGAGAAGGGTTGCAAGCTTGATGCACGCGCCGTCATGTGTGTATGTGTTCGGGTGGACATGGAGAGCAATGGATGGCGCATGTTGGACCCTTCTCTCATGCGCATTCGCATTGCTCGGGATGTTGATTTTCTTGAGAATGTGATGTGGAAGGATTGGGACAAGGCCAAGGGCTTTTGGGAGCTTCTTCAAGATGCAGCTGAGATTTCCCAGCTCCTCCCCCTTCCACTCTCGCCACCCTCAGCAGCGCTTGATGACGCTGACATGCCACTTTCATCACCACCACCGGCACCGCTGAGTGTGTCGGTCCAGCAGCAGCCCGCCCCTCTGCAGCAGCTCAGCAGCCCCTCGGTCATTCAGCGGAAATCTGCTACCCAGGCTTCTTCCTCTTCCTTCTCCTCTGGTCAGCGTCATGTCACTCTCTCTGCTAGTGCACCTATGTCAACAGCGACTACCTCCCCACCGGGGTTGCAGGTGCTTGGTATCGAGTCTGGTACAGGTGGTGAGGAGGTAGGGGGGGATGCTGGTGGTGTTAAGGGTATGATGAGCTTGGCCAGAGAGGTGGAGGGTGTTGCACTAGCATGTGTGAGCACCAGTGATGTCCCATGCATACTCTTTGAGGCACTGCGTGGCCCTGAAGGCCCTGCATGGTAGGCATGCACTGAGAAGGAGGTGAATGCCATGCGCACTATGGATCTATGGGATCCAGAGCCGGTCGACTTAAGACCAATGTCCGTATTGTAGGCCCGGGGGTCTACAACTTGGGGGCGTCTTATATCCGGGTGATTACAAGTAATGCTGCAGAAACTGAATGCATTTCTTTTGGGAGCAGGCGTCACAAAAGCAGGCGTCGTAAAATGATGGTATTGTTTGTGCTGTACCATACTACACCAGACGGGTATATATTTTCACTGCACTGCATCCCATGGACGCTCAGCGAGTGAGCTTTACGAGAGTGAAGAGATACCAAATCCGGTTTGTAAGATACTGCGTATATAAATTGTTGTTGGACAGATTTTCAAACAAAATACAACACCCTGTAGCGTATAATAAATACACCTGATTTTACATACGCTTATAATATTACTATTCTGATCATAGGCGCATGCATCAAAGGCACGCGGGCTCAAGGTAATTCCAACGTGGCAAATGTACTGGTTCTACCATCTTCGCAAATGCTCCACTGAAATGTCATCCTTTTTCTCTCGAAGCCAACTGGTACGTACGGATTTGATATGCGGGTGACAGCGAATTGCGAACATGCCCACTTTTCGTCAGCTTCGGATACGAACTCGCCACTAGCCCACTGGACACCCCACACAGGGCTGATGGTGAGGCATGGCACACGCTAGCATGACATGCTGGGTTTTCGCCGACTATCGCAGCCAACAGAAAGACTCAGTAGGCGATTCACGGGGAGGCCAGGGGCCTGCACCTGCGGCATCAAGGGACGCCGCCGAGCCTCGTAGGCACGTGCCAAACGTGGCGCTCAGTCGCATTATCCAGACAGACAGGCTTGAGCTTGGTTTGGCGTGTGCAAATATTGGAAAACATTGAGCGCGTGTATGCGCTTCGTCCACATAAACTGCGCACATTTCTTCAGTTCACTTATCCCTCGAGAAATCTTCAATGCACATCCAACAAACCCAACCCTCCCTCCCACACCTAACAACCAACACTTCGAACACCTTCTTATGGCAGAACCGATCTATCCCCGAACAACCCTCTCAGCTCCCATCGTACGATGGCACCTGCAGACATCGACCAGTCTCCCTTCGCGCGGATGTTCGACCTCGAAACCGTCCCCGATTGTCCCGACTCTGGCGACATGAACGCTGCAGACAATTCGTTTCTCAACCTAGTTACAGCCGCGGCCTGGACCACCTGCAACGATTACACCGGTAAACCCGGCGGAAAGAGCGGCGAGAAGAGCAGGGAGGAGAACGTGGGCAATCCGGCGGCCCGGAAGCAGCTTCTCGCGGCGCTTATGCAGGCTCTCGTGGATTCGGCCGACGACACCGCCACCGCCGCCGCCGACGATGAATCCGCGGCGCTGGCAGCACGATCGCGGAAGCGCAAGGCGTCGGAGATTGAGGCGGCGCCCTCCGCGTCTGCGCCTGCCGAGGGCGGAAGCGAGGCGGAGGTGACGCGCGAGCTGCGCTGTGCGATTTGTGCTGTCATCCTCCGTGGCAGCGAACCGTCACGCCCCGCACCTGCCGGCGGCGCTGCTGGTTTTGCGGGCGCTCCCGCGCCTTCCGCCAGCGCTTACCACTCGAGCCACCACTGGCGGCAGGACGCTCGCCCATGGCCCGCTGCAGATGCCCTTTCGCCTGCCCATCGCCAAAGGTGCTGCTCCTGCTGCACCTTCCGCTGCACCTCCTGCTTCACTATTACTAGCCACCGTGCCAGAAGCAGCAGATTGCATGAACTACTTTGACAATTCAGATGATAACATGGGCGGTTTTGGTGGAAGTCCCACCTGCCGCGGAGGGACCAATGGTGCGGCAGATGACGACGATTGGATGCCGCGCAACCGCGGGCGCAAGGATCGGCAGATGGTGGGCGAGCGAATCAAGGTGTTACAGGTTGGGATTCCCGATGCCAGCGCACATGGGAATACCCGAACGGTTGGAACCTCCCTTGCCTAGATAGCTCCGAATAGAGATAGGTGCTAACCTCGGAGCGTATCTCTTATCCTTGTCACTGATTAGAATGTACTAGAATCCAGCAGAGCGTGGCATCGAGGCACTATGCCAAGATGCCATGCTAGAAGCGTGACGACGCGGTTTTCCTTCCGAGCCGCGCTTCCTCCTTCCTAGCATAAAGGTCTCTTCCTAGATCTTGTTGTATCATCTTCTTAGGCATGCTCATAATTGCTCTCATCCATGAGCAATCTAAGAGCACAGAAAAAACGCTTGTCTCAAGGACGCTTGTCTCAAGGAGTTGAAAGGATCAGCTTCAAGAGCTGAAGCGAGGATTTCCATGAAAAACGAATTCAGGGTTGAAGACCAAGAGGGGAATTTCCAGCAGAGGGTTCCGAGGTGAAGAAATTGAAATTACAAACGCTTTTAACCCAACTTCACCTCAGTTCAGAGAGTTTCAGTGAAGGTCGAAGTAGTGTAGCAGTAGGAAGACGCCTTGGGCAGAAGGGTCATTACGAAATTCGAAATTCTGCTCCCAAACTTTCTGGTTGGCTGAACTTTCGCCCAATCACAGTTTCACAAACTTCGCCAAGCGAATTTCGACTTCGCCAAGTAGATTTTGACCTCACCAAGTAGATCTCGACTTCACCAGAGTTGGAGCAGGAACCAACTCGCCATGCTAGCTCCTTCAAGGTAGTAGACTCGTAGAAGTCGAATTGAAGTTTAGTTACTAGGTTAGAACGAAAATAGAAGACGTGAAGAGAAGTAGCTTCTAGCTTAACACGAGAGTAGAAGCTGAGGATCGAAGGCTCTGAGACCAATGAAACAGGAGCTACGGCGCAGCCCCATAGTACGGCGCGGCTGGCCTAGCCCGCCGACTACGGTGGCGCCGTAGCTAGAAAGAGAGAGAGTAGTCACGCAGCGGAAAGCTAAGCTAGAAGCGGAGTCCTAAGACGTAGTAAAGAGTGTGGATAGAAGAATCAAGAAGATGGTTCTGAGATTAGATAAGAAGATTACAGGATAGGATGATACAACAAGATCTAGGAAGAGACCTTTATGCTAGGAAGGAGGAAGCGTGGCTCGGAAGGAAAACCGCGTCGTCACGCTTCTAGCATGGCATCTTGGCATAGCTCCTCGATGCCACGCTCTGCTGGATTCTAGTACATTCTAATCAGTGACAAGGATAAGAGATACGCTCCGAGGTTAGCACCTATCTCTATTCGGAGCTATCTAGGCAAGGGAGGTTCCAACCGTTCGGGTATTCCCATGTGCGCTGGCATCGGGAATCCCAACCTGTAACATAATTCCCCTCCCCAAGAAGCATCGTCCCGATGCTTACCCTTACTAAGCAAGCACAGGTCTAAAACCAGGGAAATATAAACAAGCAAACAAAATTCCTAGAGGTACAAATCAGAAAATATTTACAAGATCAAACTTGGTCTTCGTTCTTGGTCTTCACTCTTCTTCAAGGTTCAGAAGATTCAAGAAGAAACTCATAGGAGGAGGTCGGCATATAGCTGCAGCCCATACCACAGCTGTTGCGGTCACATGCAGCTTCTAACCATAGGGTGGAAGACTCCATAAGTCATTTCCGTGTGCACAATCTCAACTAAGCCCATGCTTTCATGCTATGGCGCTTCTCACTGTACACAACAACCCCTATTAAGCTGCCTCAACGCTGGTGCCTATAGCACGTTCAGCAATACCGCCAAATATGCCTAGGAGAGATCCAGAAAATGGAAACACTAGCCATCTAGTCAAGCACCTCGTGGATTCACTAAACAAAAAGTGAGATAAGGTTACTTATGCTCTTTATATATTGCAGAGCAAAGGACTAGGCAGAGGCCTGTGTTCCAAAGGGAAGAGAGGTGAGAATTTAGATAACGCACGTAGAGGGAATTCATAGGCATGCTCATATTGCTCGTCATCCATGAGCAATTCATAGAGCAGAGAAAGAACACTTGTCTCAAGGAGTTGAAAGGATCAGCTTCAAAGAGTTGAAGCGAGGATTTCCATGAAAATCAGATTCAAAGTTGAAGACCAAGCGGAAGATTTTCAGTAGAAGGATTTTGGGTCATGCAACTGAATTTCGAGCAGTTTTTTACCCAACTACACCTTAGGATTGACAGTTGCATGAAGGGCGAGGTAGTGTAGCAGCAGAGTACCCTTCGAGCAGGGGAGCCATTTCGAAATTCGCCACTCTGAAATCTCTGCTCCCACAATCTCTGGTTGGCAGAAATTCGCCCAATCACAGGTTCAGTAATTTTGCCAACACCAAATCCGAATTCGCCCTGAGCAGAATTGAAGCAGGCTGCAGGAAGTCCTCGTCAACATGCAGCCAAATCCTCGTAGTTGCTCCAAGGTAGGGTTCGTCGAAGCAGTGGCAGAAATCGAAGCGAAGAGTAGTCGTAGCTAGCTAAGGACAATAATAGAAGACGTGAAGAGAAGTAGCTTCTAGCTTAACACGAGAGTAGAGGCTGAGGATCGAAGGCTCTGAGACTAGTGAAACAAGGCTACGGCGCGCAGCCCTTTAGTACGGCGCAGCTGGCCTAGCCCGCCATAGCAACGGTGGCGCCGTAGCTAGAAAGCAGAAGAGTATCACGCAGCGGAAAGCTAAGCTAGAAGCGTAATCGAGAGACGTAGATGAGAGAGTGGATAGACGAATCAAGAAGATGGTTCTGAGATTAGATAAGAAGATTACAGGATAGGATGATACAACAAGATCTAGGAAGAGACCTTTATGCTAGGAAGGAGGAAGCGCGGCTCGGAAGGAAAACCGTGTCGTCACGCTTCTAGCATGGCATCTTGGCATAGCGCCTCGATGCCACGCTCTGCTGGATTCTAGTACATTCTAATCAGTGACGAGGATAAGAGATACGCTCCAAGGTTAGCACCTATCTCTATTCGGAGCTATCTAGGCAAAGGAGGTTCCAACCGTTCGGGTATTCCCATGTGCGCTGGCATCGGGAATCCCAACCTGTAACACAAGGTGCGGAGCATGGCGGAGTGGCAGAGGCGGGAGAGGATCAGTGAGGGGCTGCAGAAGCTACGCCTGGTGGTGCGCGGGCATAGGGACACGGCCTCCATGCTCGATAAAGCTGTCGCATATGTCGACGCGTTGCAGCGCAGAGTGACCGCGCTGGAAACCGCCCTGCTGCTGCACCAGGCGTCGTGCAAGAACCCACGGCAGCCTGAATGGTCCCAGGCCTCTTCTGGTGAATCTTCTGACCTCTTATAGGCGTTCTTCCCATTTAATACTGGATAGCAATAGCGTTGGATCAACTTACAACTAATAAAGCTGGACTTCGGCTTGGAGATGTGTCAAATCGATCTTATTGATCTTGATTGTACCGTATGTACACCTTGTTCAAACTTGAACTGCAATTGAGCCCTGGAATTGACAGGCCTTTTGCAGGTGTGCAGACTTGGCTTCTGACATGGTGTAACCAATTCGTCTTAACCCAAAAAGCGAAACTCTAACGATCGGTGATTGAACTACCCTAGCAGGTGTGGGAGGGGACATAGTTTTGCATGGTTCTATTATAGCCTTATGATAAAAAAGGATGAACAAACTAAAAAGCGGAGCCCTTCTTGGAAGCACTCCGAACCCGCTACACCAACTTAACATCTGTAAAAAGACCGCAGATAATGTCCAGTGAGATCTCCACTGGGAACCCCCCCGCTTCAGCAGGACCTCAATGGAGTCTGGACTGGCCACATGCAGGAAAGCAGTTTCCTTGGGTGCTGCTAATCCAGGAGAATACATTTGCCATCTAGACAGAAGTGTTTGATCTCATGGCACCAGATGAAATTCGTGTCAGCCGCATGATCTAAATGCACCTTGGACAAGTACGTGGGCTGAACAACTTGGAACTGCGATAACACGTCAGCCGATAACTGCTTCTTCTAATACCGGTAGTCCAAAGGGTTATTGATGGTCACCTTGGCCCACGGATTTCAGAATTTTATAAAAAATGAAGAGCAAACGTGGTTGATGTTGAGTGATGCTACCATTCGCATTCACGTCTGTCTGCCTCCCATCATATGTTCATGCGTTGCATGCATATTGTGAGTGTGTGCAAGAATTTGTGTTTTGTGCGGTTTGGTTTTTCTGAGTGTGTGTGTGAATGTTATTTGGCTTGAGCAGATATCTGAAGTGACTCCTCTGCTCAAGAGCTTTCCGAGGAACCAAGTATCGCTTCAATCGGAGCACAAACAAGAAAGTTACGAACGTTGGAGTTCGTATGCTTTTGATATTTGGTTGTGGTGACTATGGGAAGTTGTGGGGTTGACTCAATATGGGGTACAGACTTTTGGGGGTTGGGAAATTCGTCTTTTCTACTGTAGTTGCTGCCAAATGGTTGGGAGAAACCAAACCAGGTTGGCAAGTGTGGCCAAGTTGGGTTGAGGTGGATTGTGGAGGTTGGGATAGTGACAAAGGTCAAAGTTGGGTTGCCTATGGGGAAGGGAATTATATGGCATGGGGTTTCCTTGGTTGGGGACTCTCTTGGGATCTTCCCTCTCGTCCTCCTGATCCCTTCCACCTGGTTTAGTGCTACTCCAATTCTCTTGTGTGAACTTTGTGATTGAGTTAAGTTCTTATGGCAGCATACCCCCCTGTACGCCGAAATTGATAAGTCGAGATTTACTTCACCTCTTGATACGTTTCAACTTGGGAATTGTAGCCACGGAGTAGGGCTACCACATATATGAGTTTAGTGAAGTTTTGACTGTGCACTTTTCGTCGACGGCGTTTCTTGTGAGCGCAACTATTCTGTCCAGAAATAGGGACCAACGATTTTGAGAAATTTAGGCACCTAATCTTCATAGACTCCGTCCTTAGTCTCTAACAAGTGGTATCAGAGCTGATTAAGGACCCTATGAGGAGTCTACTGAAGTGTGAAGACCCTCCTAGACCCACCATGGCCTGTGGGCGTGCCTAAGTGGAGTTCTGGAGGTTGGATGTGACTTCCGCTAAGGGGAAACTCTGCCAAAATTTCGTTGGC